ACAAGTCCAAAGCATGGATAATGAAGTCTCGCCATCCTTGCCTCTAAGAAGCATTCTGGCCATTCTTCTTCCAAGACAGATCTGTTGTTCTTTTGGAAGTTCATGGTACTTTCAATATCCTTTGCCAGCACCACAATTCAGATGTGTCAATGATTTTATAGTCATTGATTTGCCCCATTTTCTGGTGTTTCAGCTACAATGTTGTGGTAATTAATAGTTGTAAACTCTTTTTTTAGAATGAAGTAATAATTATAGCAAAAGAAGAAAAACTAAAAATGGCTTCAGCTCAGTGACTAATTATGCAGTAACTAATAATGTTGTAATTCAATGTAGAAAGATTTTATAAAGCCTTGTTGTTAGTATTCATATAATTTAAGAAATATTCTATATAAGCAATTTATAACAACAGTTATCACCTATTATTTTATGACTTAGATTGATGATCAGTATTACTAAGGATTCTGCATGCTCTTGCACACAGTCGGGGGAGGGTAAGGGTGGTGGTGATGCCATGATTTATTGCACTTAGTGACACTACTCTTAGTGACTCCACTGTACATGCTTCCTCTCGGGCTTACATACAGTCAGTACACTAAGTCTGTGGTGTGATTTTAGAGAAATGAAAACTAGATTAGACCACTGATCTATAGCTAAAAAACAAGACTAGAAGTCAGGGACTTGGGTTCGAGTTCGGACTCTACCCCTTTGTAGCTGGACCATCTAAGAAAACTCCTTTGTAATGTGCTGTGGCTCTAAAAGGAGAGCATAAAACTAGATAGCCCTCAAAGATCCTTAAGTTTTATGAACTGGTTCTGCTATACACCTCAGAAATTAAATGAGAGACTTAAAATATTGTGGAAAATCACATTATCTTTAAATTCTATTTTTCCATGGACTTTTTGATGCCCCCTCACAGTCCTAAAATGATATTATTTTCATAAAGTAAAATTTGAAAAGCAACCTAATAATAGCTCTGCTTGACCTTTTCTTTGCAGGCAACTGAAGCCACCTAGTGGCCAGGGAAAGCCAAACCCCCAGCTTTCACCAGTCCCATTTCAGAGAACAAACCTGTCTTTCCAACTGAATTGTAAGGGTGTGCTATAGTCTGTGCCAGTTCCCCATTTCCACCCAACCCCACTCAGGTCTAGGAGCCTAATGAGTCCTCAAGGAATTCTAATCAGAGCACACAAGAGCAAACGAAGAGGGAAGGAGAGGGGAACACATCCTGGTCCACCGAGCTCCGAGGACGATATTCCTGCTCAGAGCAGCCAATGCACAGAGAGGACCAAAGAGCTGGCCCCACCACAGGACACGGCGTCCCTCACTGACCCATAATGTTACAGGGAACAACAGTGGAGACACAGCACAGGAATTGTGGCCGATCTGACCCCACCACACCAGGGCAAAACACTAAGAGCATGCAAGAGAGCAGCAAGGGGAGCACAGCAATGAAGTCCCTGGGGGATACCAAATATAGACTTTGGGGCCAGGACGTGGCACCCCATCAGACTCCACCAGAGAACACTCCTAAAGGTCAACAAACAGACCTGGAATTATTTATAGGCTTTTCTTTTTTGATGTTGATATTTTTTTGGTGGTGCTTTGTTCTTTGTTCTTTTGTTTTGTTTGCCTTTGTGCTTACATTGTTTTTGCATGTCTACCTAGATAAGATAGGTAGATAAACAAAAACAACAGAACTGATCAGTTGGGGGCATATGGGGACATGGGAGAAGGGAGGCAGGGGGAAATGAAGCGGGGTGCCAACAAACCCAGGGACAAGGGAACAACAAGTGATCTAAAAATCACAATGATCAGCATATAACCCCCTCCCAGGGGGACGAACAACAGAAAAGTGGGTGAAAGGAGACAGCAGTCAGTGTAAGACATAAAAAAATATTTTTATTAATTATCAAAGTTTGTGAGGGAGGCAAGGAGGGGGTGGTGGTTGGGTGGAATGACCTGATACCAAGGGCTAAAGCAGAAAGAAAATGTTTTGAAAATGATGATGGCAACATATGTACAAATGTGCTTGACACAATGGATGAATGTATGGGTTGTGATAAGAGATGTAAGAGCCCCCAATAAAAGTATTTAATTAAAATTTTAAAAAAAGGAAAGAAGCTCTGAGAAACTATTGGGGATATCTTCTGGAGTCACCAAAAATGTGGGGTGGAGTCATATGTTTGTGGGTTGGTTGGTTTGTTTTATCCAGAACAGTATTTCTATCTCCCTTCTACCCTTTGAGTAGTCTACATTACAGGAAGCCTAG